GATAGACCAATTCTTGTTTTTCAGAATTTCTTTAACTATTCTATTTTGCCTTTACCTGTAAGTGAATAATCTATATATACAAAAAAATCTTGCTGATATTTTTTAATATTCATTTATTTATTTTGAGAGAGAGAGAGAGAGAGAGAGAGAGAGAGCAAGCTGAGGAGAGGCAGAGAGAGGGGAAGAGAGAGAACCCTAAGCAGGCTTCATACTCAGCATGGAGCCCGATGCAGGGCTCAATCTTACAATCATGAGAACATGACCTTAGCTGAAATCAAGTCGGATACTTAACCAACTGAGCTGTCCAGGCGCCCCAAATCTTGCTGAGATTTTTATAGAATTTGCATTAACATGTCTCTCCATTTATTTAGATCTTTGATTTATTTCATCAACATTTTGAATCTTTCGGTATACAATTATTGTACATGTTTTAGTAAATTGACGCTTAGGTATTTCTCTTTTTTGAGTGATTATAACTGGTATTGAATTTTTAGTTTCAGTATTCATGTATTCACTGCTAGTATATGAAAATACAATAGAGTTTTGTGTTTTTCTTGTTATCTTGCAACCATGTTGAAATTATTACTTCTAAGAGGGGTTTCTGGTGAATACTTGGGATTTTCTATGTAGACAATCATGTCACCTGCTGATAAGAAGAACTTTAATTCTTCCTCTTCAATTTGCATCCCTTTCATTTTCCATAATTATCTTATGACACTAACTTGAACTCGTAATAAGAGTAGTGAGAGCCTACATCTTTGCCTTTTGCCTGACCTCCAAAGAAAAGTATTCTTTCACTATTAAACATAATATTAACTGTAGAGTTTTTTGTAGATGTTCTTTATCATGTCGAGGAAGTTCCCTCTATTCTCATTTTTCTGAGTTTATATAATGAGTGAATGTTAGATTTTATCAAATGCCTTTCCTGCATTAATTTCACATGACAATGGTTTTTCTTTTTTAGCTTTTTAATATGTTAGCTTACGTTTATTGATTTTGAATATTGAATCAGTCTTGCATCTTCGGAATAAATCTCATTTGGTTATGATGTATATAATTCTTTTAATATATTGCCGAATTTTAATTGCTAATATTTTGTTAAGGATTTTTGCACTTATATTCATGTTGATCTTTAGTTTTCTTTTTTTGTAGTCACTGTCTAATTTTGCTATTAAAGTAATTCTAGCTTTATAAAATGTATTGAAAGATGTTCCTTCCTCTTCTGTTTTCTATCTTTCTAGGCTACCTATACCTTGGATAGTAAAAGTAAGCTTTTCTTGAGGCTTTTTATTGGTATGAATTCTTTCTCAAAAGTTTGGAGGAATTTTACAGTGAAATCATATGGGCCTAGAGATTTTTTGAGGAGGAATATTTGATTACTAATTCAATTTCCTTAGTAGTTATAGTGCTAGTCACACTATCCATTTTATATTGGGTGAGTTGTGATAGTTTGTGTTTTTCTAAGAATTGGTCCATTTCATTTAAGTTGTCCAGTTTATGTATGGAGAGTTATTCATCATAATCCTTTATTATTCCTTTGATGTCTGTAGGCTTGATAGTGATATCCTCAATTTCATTCCCGACATCTCTCTTCTTTTTTTCCATTGTTAGTCTTGCTAGAGGTTTACCAATTTTTTAAATCGTTTCAAAAAGCCGCTTCATTACTGCTGGGCTTTCTCTGGACAGTACTCCAACTAGGGGACTGGGGCCCTTTGTTGCAGTTTTATCAGGGTGTAAGTCTTGGATCCCCATTAGGCCTTTGCTGGTGGGGATGGGTCCATAGTTGGTTTTTTTTTTTAAGTTTATTTATTTTGAGAGAGACAGGGAGAGGGTGAGCAGGAGAGGGACAGAGAGAGAGAGAGAGAAAGAGAGAGAGAGAGTCAGGCTTCATACTGTCAGTGCAGAGCCCTACACAGGGTTCAAACTCAAACCGTGAGATCATGACCAGAACCCAAATCAAGAGACAACCGCTTAACCAATTGAGCCACCTAGGCGCCCCTGAGGCTATAGTTTTACTTGTGATGTTTGGTTAAGGTAGAGCGAGCAGTTAATTGTCTAAAAGTTTTCTGTCTTTCTAGGTTGCCTTTCTCCTGGCCCTCTGGCTAGTCAAAGTAGGCTTTTGTTGGGGCTTGTTGGGGCTTGTTGGGGCTTTTTATTTCTGGGTCTGTTAAAATTTCTGGGTTGCTAGCTTCTTAAGCTTCAAGTCCAGGATACATGAGGCAAAACAAACAAACAAACAAACAAGCACACCAGGGAACTCACTGCCATGTAGTTCCTTTGATCTAGAAGCCCTTGCCCATCTTTTTCTCTCTACCTTTCAGAGTCTTGTTTGTTTTATAATGTTCAAGGTTTTTTATTGCACTGAATGGAAGAATAAGTAAAAGTACATCTATTCAATCTTCTTGGAAGTAGAAGTCCCATGAAACCCTATTGTAAGTTGTTTTCTAGGAGATGTTTTGTCATTTTTTTTAAAAATATTTTTATTTATTTCTAGGAGAGAGAGAGAGAGACAGCGTGAGCAGGGGAGGGTCAGAGAGAGAGGGAGACACAGACTCTGAAACAGGCTCCAGGCTCTGAGCTGGTAGTCAGCACAGAGCCCGACGCGGGGCTTGAACCCACGAACCGCGAGATCATGACCTAAGCGAAAGTCGGACGCTTAACCGACTAAGCCACCCAGGCACCCCTCATTTTGTTTTTAAATTAGAAACTTGAATTTGATAAAATGCCTTTTAAGCCTCTATTGATACAATATGCTTTCCTGATTGTATCTACAAATATGAGAATATAAACAGCTTTATTTAAACATGTGTAGTGAGGAGCACCTGGGTGGCTCAGCTCAGGTCACTATCTAGAGGTTTGTGAGTTCCAGCCCCTCACGGGGCTCTGTGCTGACAGCTGGAGCCTGCTTTGGATTCTGTCTCCCTCTCTCTCTGCTCCTCCTCCACTCGCACTCCATCTCTCTATATATATCAAAAATAAACAAACATTTAAAAAAATATGTCCTTGTGTGGTGAGTGTTATGTAGCTGTTTATCCCTATCCCCAAACATACCGCAAAGGTCATAGACTGAAGCATCTAGAGAGGCTGGCAGGTCAAGTTAATGAGAGAGGAATGCTTGCCAGGGTTTTTGCAAGATTATGGGGAATAGTAGGTGCTGAAGTAAGAGGAGGATCTTGTGACTTGTCTGTAGGGAGACAATGTTACCTTCTGCCATAAGTTTCTACACAGAAATGGGTGCTTATTGCTTCTTGATCTTTGTTTTTTCCAGAGAGACCAAAAAATAAGAAGTTCTATGGAAAATGTTCCAATTTTTAAATGTTGACATCTAATTCGTGAATATGGGTCAGACTAAACAAACTATGGAGCTGATTCAGTAAAAAGGCTGACATTTTGTAACTTCTGATACAGGGATACTAATGACTCAAAATAAGGCTTTCCTTCCTCTTAAACTAGAAACAAATTGCATAAGGGGAATGTAAAGAGGACTTAAAAGCTGAGTGTGTCCTTTATAAAGGAAGATAGCTTATTTCCCCCCTCCAACTCTGGGACAAACTCCTAAGGACATAGGAAATGAAATTCCAGATGGAATTGCAGAGATCTGTGTTACTCCTTTCCTAGAGCTCAGCACTGTGATGAGACTTGAGAATTTGATTGGCTCAGTGTGATGTAGGGGGTTCATGTTGTGTCTTGGCAGATTGAACTGAGATTGCCTCAGGGGCTGGGAGTGTGCCTGAGTTTATTTTTTGTGACAGCATGAAATAACAGAACCAATTTGTAGGAGCCCAAGAGGGTCACAGAAGTTGAAACTCAGCTGTATTGAAGGAGTCTTTTAGATGAGAATGAAAGATTACACATCAGGTTTTATGAAGGTTCATAAAAGAATGTGGCTTCAGTTATAAAATCAGTTACATTTCCTTGACCTCATGAAATTATGGAGCAAAAATTGTACCCTCTACACTATCTTTTTATTATTTTGAGAGAGTGCACACACACGCAGAAGTATGCGTTCAAGTGGGAGAGGGGCAGAGAGAGAGAATCCCAAGCAGGCTCCTCACTTGCGGCACAGAGCCTGATGTGGGGCTTGAACCCATGAACCAAGATATCATAATCTGAGCCAAAATCAAGAGTCAGACACCTAACCAACTGAGCCACCCAGGCACCTCTAAACTATCTTTTCTAGTATAAACTCTGTCAGATCCTTGGGATTTAATGTGTAGTTATTACTTTCAAATCATTTTTTCATTACAACTTCAATTTTTTTCTTGACACAATATTACGTCCCCCATCCAAGGTTTTATTTAGAATTTATTTTTATTTTTTAAGTTTCTTTATTTATTTTGGGAGAGAGTGCAGGGGGAGCAGAGAGACAGAGAGAGAGAATCCCAAGTAGGCTCTGCACTATCAGCAAAGAGCCCAATGCAGGCTTGAACTTACAAAAATTGAGATCATGACCTGAGCCAAAACCAAGAATTGGACGCTTAATGGACTGAGCCACTCTAGCGCCCCTTTATTTATAATTTAAAAGTGCCTTTTCTATTTTATCAAACTTCAATTGCTTTTCAGATTTAATTTTAAAAAATAGATTTCAGCATATGAAACTGGACATTTTTATATCTGTGACATTTTTCAGAAACTCTTAAATATAAATATAACTTTCCTATCTATGAAAATGGGTATTTTTAATTGCCAAATCTCCGATCTATGTTAAATCTTAATGTTTACACTGTTTTGTTAGATTTTTAAAAATATGTAAGTCCAGCTTACCCATAATTGTTTATGTCAACAATTTTTTCTTAAGGTTTTTTTGTTTGTTTCTCATTGCTCTCTCTCAAAGCTACTTACATATATTATACATATTTTTTCTGGTTTATTTTCATTAAACTATACACATTTTGGTAGGGCCAGGTAAAGATGTCTTTCAATGTTATTTAAAAGCTAATGAGATCAGATAATTCAAAGAAATAAGTATATAATAAAGTTAAAGTCACTTGGCGAGGTCATACACATTTCTAGAATCAGCTTTATTTATGTAATGAATCTCTGAGGAAAATGTCGTCTCCTCAGGGTACCTTGTGTATCTAAGACAGAACCACATGTCCACCCATATTCCATCCTTTTACCTCTACAGCAATTTATCTTCACTGACACATTATATTATTTTTCAACAGATTCTAGGCCTAAGTTCCCAAACTTGATCTCATTTGTTCATTGATAGATACCCAATTCCTCCAATAGGGGCTGGCACACAGAGTAGCACTTAACTAAATGTTAAAGCGAAACACAAAGAACCTAGAAATTGCCTAATACCCAGAATGTCTGTCGATCAGATTCACCAGTGGTGCAGAAACACATTTACAGTAGAAGACATCTAAAAGTGAACTTTTTTGGAGATTTTTTTGCAGCCCTTCCCTCCTAGCCTGGGAGTAGCCTCTATCAACTTTTGGTCAGTGAAATGGTTTCAGAGAAAATAATACAATTAACTATCAACAAAAGGAGGGAGGGACAAAGAAAAAAAAATTAAGCGGTAGCCTCAATGGGGCATTCTCTGGCCAGATGTCCAGACTCGCCACAGCGGTAGCAGTTCACTTCACTGGTCTTGCTGCAGTTGATGGCCATGTGACCTGTCTCGCCGCACCGGTAGCACTTGACTTGGGTGCAGTCTTTCTGAATGTGGCCATATTCACCGCAAGAGTAGCACTTCTGCTCTTCCTGACGGTCACAATCACGAGCCAGATGGCCTGGTCTGCCACAAGTGTAACAACACTGCTCTCTCTCTCGCTTAGGCTCATTACAGTCTTTGGCGATGTGGCCACTTTTCCCACAGTTGTAGCAGATGTCCTCGAGAAGATCACAATTCTTAGCATGATGACCAGACTCGCCACAGCGGTAACAGATGTCAGACGGGTTGGTGGAACTGCACTGGGAACCTCTGCCACGGCCTCTAGCTCCGCGCCCTCGACTTCCTCCTCCTCTAGGGCATCCCCGGGCCCAGTGGCCAGAGCGTCCACACTTGAAACATTCTTTATTGCTCATGGCGATGGTGAGATCTTAGGGTGAGCGGGCCCACCACTGCCCCTGAGGGTCCGACGCACCTTTCCTTAGGGCGGCTTAGAAACAAGTGGCCGTTTTTCTCTAGGAGCCTCAGTGACGTCACACAAGGTTAGCTTACGATCCCACTCACGTGTCACAGGCATTCCAGCTGCCCCTCCTGCCTGACTTTTCCTTCTATTCTCGAAGTCAAAAGCATGACTGAGTGGTGGTATTTTCTGTTTCTTTTTTTTAATAAAAATAAATATTTGAGTCTTCAAGTTTGTTTGAATCCCTCCTTGCTCAGACAATGTACCCTGTAGGATTTCTTATTATTAAGAATTAGGTCTTCTTTGTGATCTAGTAGATGACCAGTTTTTATATATGATCTATGGACACAGGAAAAATATGTATGAGATGTATCTAATCCAGAAACAAATTATAACAAAGTAGACTAACTTTCTTTTTTGTTTTAAAAAATAAAATACAAATGTCCACAAAGATATGAAATACATAAAGCAGGAAAAAAATCTTTAAAATGCCACAGTGAGATTTACTCACAATCTTGCATATTTTTTGCAGGAATCTTAGTTTTTAACTAAGTTTTTTAACTACCATTTAAGTTATGAAACATAACCCGATTGAAGCATCCAGTGTAAAGAACACATTATTATTGGAAAATAAATTACAAAACTGTAATTTAAATATTGGACAGATTTCCTCTCTGTTGTTTCCCAAATTGTTTATATCTTACAAAAACCACATAAGATTAACAACATGTTCATTTATACACCTATATAAATAAGTATGGGAAACTAGACACTGGGGGCGCCTGGGTGACTCAGTTGGTTAAGCGTCTGGCTCAGGTCATGATCTCATGGTTTGTGGGTTCAAGCCCCGCGTGGGGCTCTGTGCTGACAGCCAGCTCAGAGCCTGGAGCCTGTTTCAGATTCTGTGTCTCCCTCTCTCTCTGACCTTCCCTTGCTCACACTGTCTCTCTCTCAGAAATAAATAAAACATTAAAAAATTAAAAAAAAAGAAAACTAGACACTGAAATATCAACTATAGCTATTTTGGGGCTACGTGATTGAATACAATTTTTTCTCCTTATTTTCCTTCTCTGTACTTTACAATTTTTGAAATGAGTTTAGATTGTTGGTAATTTTTAAAATCCATAAGAAACATTTTTCTTTAAGCTACTAACTAACTCTATGTTTTGCTTATGATTTTTTTTCCAGGCATCCAATACAAACATATTTAGTAAAGCATAGACATAAGAATGGTAAATGTAGCAGTTGGTCTTTATTTTCAATAAGACTTGGTTGAAATGTGCAACTAGTTCCATAAATGCAATGACAAAGATAAACATTTTCAAAAATTAATAGAAGTTTAGAGCCAAAGAGCATGAGCAATTGCCATTATAGAGTAATGAAATGAGTTTTATTCTTAAACAATTAAATCATTCTGCATAAATGGTTTCAAAGGCAAAAATTCTCTCCCTGGTTCAAAATTTGATATATGCTTATTAAATTAACCTTATTATCATGTTTAAATCCCCTTTCAGGGTTTTCAAAAAGCTTTAATTGGGACATGAAGTAAGATATGCATTTTACATCACAATAGAGGATACATGTATGTGTTATAACTCAAATAAGTTTAAGAAAAAATACTTACCTTTAATGTGTGCAATGCACTTTGATGTTTTATTTTAGATATTAAAAGAATAACTTATGCCAATAAATTTGAGAAACTAATAAAATGGATAAATTTCTTATAAAGTTTCTTGTAAAATTTCTATAAATTTCTTATATAACTGATACAAGTAGAAAATCTAACAAGTTCTCTATCCAATTAATTTTTTTAATTTAGAAACTTCCAATATATTTAAGAAAGAGCCCACATAAAAATTAGGATTATATGTAATGTAAGCTACACTCTGGAATGTGTAAAAGTTGTATTTGGCAGAAGGGAACTTAAAATCATGAAGTAACAATGAAATTTATATGTCTATATCTATATACACCACCAGCTGTATTTTCCTAGCCTGGGACTGTTGGGTAAAGCAAGGGGAAAGAAGAAATTAATATTAATTTGATATGTATAGTACAGGACACACTATGGCATAAATTTTGAATTAGAAGGGTAAATGATTTCTATAAGGAAATATATTCTTTCCTGTTTTTCTTGAGGCTTAAGATCCTGAAAGTCTAATTCAGTTTAATATATGGGAAGGCAACATGAAATTTCAAAGATAGGTGATGAATTTGTAAGCACCTGCCTCTCTTTTTTTTCCCCCGTCAGGCAAACATCCTAGTTTTATTTTTTTTCTTTTTCAAGTTTTTATTAAATTCCAGTTAATATTAATACCCAGTGTAATTTTAGTTTCAGTTGTAGAATTTAGTGATTCATCACTTACATACAACAGCTGGTACTCATCACAAGTGCCCTCCTTAATACACATTATCTATTTAACCCGTCCAACCCCCCACCTCCAGTAACCCTCAGCTTGTCCTGTATAGTTAAAAGTTTGTTTCTTGGTTAGCCTCTCTTTTCTTTCCCCTATATTCATCTGTTTTGTTTCTTGAATTCCACATATGAGTGAAATCATATGGTATTTGTCTTACTCTGACTGACTTATTTCGCTTAGCATAATACTCTCTAGCTCCATCCACATCATTGCAAATGGCAAGATTTCATTCTTTTTTTATGGCTGAGTAATATTTCATTGTATATATGTATGACCTCTTCTTTATCCATTCATCAGTTGATGAATGTTTGGGCTTTTTCCATAGTTTGGCTATGATGTTTTCTATTCATGTTGTAATAAATGCTTGTGGTGACCCATTACATTGATCTCTTAAGTACACTGAATGATTGTAACTGACAGTTTGAAACACACTGAATTAAAGAGTCATAACTGTAGATAATGCTCATGAGTTCTTGATGTTTCAATTTTAGATGTCTCAACTTACCTATGATTTTCTATTTCAGAGGATGTACATTTAGTCCTCTCTTATCTACACCATCTTTTGGTCCATGTCATATACTTACATATTTCAAATTCTCCACTCCAACCCACCCCGTGCTGCTTCACCTTTCTCCTAATATTGGTTAAGTCAATATCCAACATTTACATAATTATAACTATGTAAATGCTACTCATGGCTGAGCCATGAATACTCTGATCAATTTTCAGTACCTGCACAGGTTTTTGTCTCCTGGAGTTAGTTATTGTCATTCTTCATTTCCTTAGTTTCTTGTATGTTTACCTCATTTCTATTTCATAGATCTATATGGCTTCCCTTATACTAGTACCACACAGTCTTCTTTACTGTAGTTTTATATTTTGTTTTGAAATTGGTAAGAGTGAGGCCTCCAACTTTGCCCCTCTTTTCAAAAATGTTGTGACTATTTTGAGTCTCTTGCATTTCCTTATGAATTTTATTACCAGTTTATCCATTTACTTAAAAAAAGGCAACTTAGATTTTGATATATATTGTGGAAACTATAGATAGAATCGGAGAGTATTAACAATATTGAGTCATCCAATTCATAAGCACAGGATGTTCTTCCATTTATTTAGGTTTTTATTTTCACTCAACAATATTTTATAGTTTTCAGTGTCTAAGTCTTACATATCTTTTGTTAAATTTTTTCTAAGTATTCCATTCTTTTTGATGCTATTGTAAATGGGATTATTTTCCTAATTTCATTTTTTGGTTTTTCATTGCTAGTATATAAAAATACAATTATTTTTGTATATTGATCTTTTATCCTGCTACCTTGATAAATTGACCTGATTTGTAGTCTGAATAGTCTTTTAAGGGATTCCTTAGGATTCTGTAGACAAGATTATGTCATTTGCAAATGACATGAGATAGTTTGAATTGTTCCTTTCCAATATGGGTGTCTTTTATTTCATTTTCTTGCCTAATTGCCCTGACTAGAACTTTCAGTATAATGTTGAATAGAAGTGGTGATAGCCAACATCCTTGTCTGATTCTTGATCTTGGGGAGGGGGAAAGCTTTCAGACTTTAAGACCACTAAGTATGGTGTTATCTATAGGTATTTTATACACCTTCTCTATCAGGTAAGTTCTTTTCTATTCCTACTTTGTTGAATGTTCTTATCATGAAGGGGTGTTGAATTTTGTCAAATGCTTTTTCTGCATCTCTTGAGTTTGCCTTGACTTTTTGAATTTGCTAGAACTACCAGTTGAATAGAAGTTGTGAAAATGGGCATTATTGTCTTATTCCTGACCTTAAGGGGAAAGCATGCAGTCTCACCATTAAGTATGGTGTTAGCTGAGTTCTTGGTAGATACCCTTTATCTGACTGAGAAAGTTCCCTCCTATAGGAATAGTTTTGCTAAGCAAATTGGAAAGTTTGCTAAGCATTTTTTATCATAAAAGTTCATTGGATCTTGTCAAAGTCTTCGTGGCTATTGAGATGATCATGTGATTTTGTCTTTTATTCCATTAATGTGGTATATTATGTTGATTTTTATATGTTCATCAAACCCTACATTCCTCAGATAAATACTACTTCATCAAGGTATATAATCCTGTCTTTATGATCCTGGATTTGGCATGCTAGTATTTTCTTTTTTTTTTTTTAAATATTTTTATTTATTTCTAGGAGAGAGAGAGACAGTGTGAGCAGGGGAGGGTCAGAGAGAGAGGGAGATACAGACTCTGAAATAGGCTCCAGGCTCTGAGCTGGCAGTCAGCACAAAGCCCGACGCGGGGCCCGAACCCAGGAACCGCGAGATCATGACGTAAGCGAAAGTCAGACGCTTAACCGACTAAGCCACCCAGGCTCCCCTATGCTAGTATTTTCTTGAGTATTTTTGTATCTTTATTGATAAGGAATGTTGACATGTAGTATTTTTATTATAATGATATATCTGGTTGTCATTTCAAGGTAATACTGATCTCAAAGAATGATTTTTGAGGTCTTCCCACCTCTTCTACTTTTTGGAATAGTTTGTAAGGAATTAATATTATTTCTCTTTTAAATGTTTGCAAATTTTCACTAGTTAAGCCATCTCAGCCTGGGATTTTCTTATGGGAATTCTGTAAAATACTAATTTAGTTTCTTTACTTGTTGTAGGT